GTTTCAATAGAAACAACTATCATTGATAAACAGACAGCAGTGTAAAAACATATTGGTGAAATATTCTACAACTTTGGTGATTACTGGGAATGGAAAAACCACAGGAAGAACCCATGGAAGTGACTGTAGCCTGTAGAATCCCAAATGAACGATAATTTTACAATAAATAGAATCAGTCAATAGAAACATGTCAATGTAGTACAACAGCTGGTATAGAAATCTGTAACAATCCAAAGCTTCAAGAGTCTGACATAAACTGTAAAGGAATAAAAGATGGTCTTAAATGCTCTGCAAAGTCTTTCTCATGATTGTATTAAAAAGGCCAGATGGATGTATTACAGGCTAAATTCATCTATCACACATTCCCTGTGTGAAATGTACTCAAAGGACATGTGGATCAAAGATAGGGTTACAACAACCTATGCTCCCTTCAAGTGCAGCTCCCACTAGAAACATGGAATTGAATTTACCATAGTACTTTATGAAAGAGATGCTCGGGGGAAGAGCCGAAAAGTTGTATTTGTGAATCTTATTTCAATCTGTTGTTTGGATTTCTTTAAAATAGAATGGCAATGATTACAAGTGCCTCTTATTAAAATTACCTCTGTCCAATCTTTTCTCCATCATACACTCCATCATCTTCATCTCAGGCTAAACCTTTGCTGACATATATTGATGGCACTGTGGCAGAAATAACATTCACTCATTCTGCTTCTACTGTATATTTATGCCCAGACAGAGGGACATAAGGGTAACAACATAATCCCTGCTGAATTATTTAATCTGCAAAATGACATGAGTGTAGGAGAGCTGTAGCATTAACCCAACATCATCTTAGCTGGGCTGTGTGCAGTATTCTTAAATGCATCTGTTACTTTAGATAGGCACAGAGACTAATCCAGCTCTTTATATATTAATGACTTAAATTGGAGCCTTTTCTGTGGGAACAATTGAACAGAAACATCAGTCATGATTTAATTCTTTTGAAGATGCCTGGACCTATTGAGAGATGAATTACTATATGTTGCAGTGACAAACCAAAGTCAGATTTGATCAGATCACAGGTTCAGTCTGAGCTCTGATCACCACTGATCCAGAGTTGGAGTATTTGGTCTCTAAGTATTGATCACCACATTCTTTCCTATTGCATTTTCTATTGTGGGAAAATATCATCACTCATGAGGTTCATGGGACTTCAACAGTAAGCATTCCAAAATTGCAGCTGCAGATCTTTATACAAACACACAGAGTGTAAGGAGCAAATTAAATAAGCCACAGGCACAGATTCAAACAGGAAACTATGATGTAGAGACATGGCTGCAAGAATGGTCAGGACTAGGAACTAAATGTACCAGTTTATAGAGTTTACAGGATGGATAGAGAAAACAGCAGAGGGGGTGATTTCTATGGTGAGGGAGGATGCAATGAGGGAAAAGCACACAGTGGAACCCTTATGGGCATGAATGAGAAACCATAAAGGAACTAAAAACAACATTAATTTTCATATATAGACCACCTGATGGCAGCTCAGAAGTGCAAGATTATATCAGTGCTGAAATTAGACAGTTATGTAGCAAAGGCAGAGTAGTAATAATGGAGGATTTTAATCTTAACATAGAATGGAAGAGACAGACAAGCACCTGCCAGAAAGGTTGTGAATTTCTGGAGAGTGTCAGGGATAGCTTCGTATTGCAATTTGTCTTGTATTTGATGAGAGGATGAACAATGTTGGATCTAGTAATGAGCAATAAGCCTAGTTTAATTAGTGACCTAGTCAGTTGTGAGTATTTGTCAAATAGTGACCATAACATGATCAAGTTTCATGTAGCATTTTTAAGACATAAGCAAAGATCAGCTATTAGAATTTTAGGTTTATGTAAGGCAGACTTCAATGGGATGAAGCAGAGACTGTTCACAGTAAACTGAGAAACTCTGCTCATAGATAACACACTGAAGAACAGTAGAGGGTGTTCAAAGAAACATTTAATGTTATTTAAAAGCAGTTTGCACCCATGGGAAGAAAATGCCTCACCTGACAAAATACCAGCCACAGATATCGAAAGAGGTAAGGGACAACGTGAAATTAAAAGAAAGAGCTTATAAAAATACAAAGAACAGTACAGATCCCACAGAATGGGACAATACGAAGACCACAAAGGGCCACAAAGCAGCTCATAAGAGTGGATTATAAAAGCAAACTTGCAAAGGACATAAAAGACAATAGAAAGAGATTTAATAATTATATAAAGGGCAAGCAACTGTTTAAAAGTACTAAATAAAAACCAAAAGAACTGCAGATGCTGTAAATCAGGAACAGAAACAGAAGTTTCTAGAAAAGCTCAGCAGGTCTGGCAGCATCTGTGAAGAGAAAATCAGAGTCAATGTTTCAGGTTAACCTGAGTTCTGAGGAAGGGTCACCGGACCCGAAATGTTAACTCTGATTTTCTCTTCACAGATGCTGCCAGATCTGCTGAGGTTTTCCAGCAACTTCTATTTCTGTTCCTGTGTTTAAAAGCACTATTGACTGATTGAAGGTTGAGATTGGACATATTGGCAATGACCGTGGGGAAATGGCAGGTGCTGACCAATTATTTTACACAGTATTTACAGCAGGGGAGGAGGATAGCTTGCCAGAAGTCCCAAAGAAATTAACAGAGGGTTAGGGACAGGTCTAAATAAAGTTAGCTTAAGTAGATCATCAGTAATTGGGAAATTGATGGAACTGAAGAGTGACAAATCTCCAGGACCTGATGGTTTCCATCCACGGGTGTTAAAGGAGGTAGGAGAATACATTGCCGATGCCCCAACCATAAACATTCAGAGTTCCCTGGATTCAGGAGTTGTACCTCTGGATTAGAAATTTGCTCATGTTACTTAACTCTTTAAGAAGGATGACAGAGGGAAGCCAGAGAATTGCAGGCCAGTTAGCCTTTGGCAGGGAAATTGTTAGAGTCTATAATCAATAGGGTAACTGATCACCTCAAACAAATCCAGTTAATCAGGGAGAGTCAGCTTGGATTCATGAAGGGGAAGTTATGCCTGACAACCCTCATAGAGGTTTTTTAAGAAGTGACAAAGGTACTGGACAGAGGTAAGTGATGGGTGTTATTTATATGGACTTCCAGAAGGCTTTTGCTAAATTCCCACACAAGAGACTATTAACTAAGGTAGAAGCCCATGGAATTGGGGGCAAATTACTGACATTGATCAGAAATTGGTTGAGTGTCAGGAGACATAGAGTTGGAATAATGGGTAAATACTCAAATTAGCAGAATATGACAAGCAGTATCCTTCAGGGATCTGTGTTGTGGCCTCAATTATTCACAATATTCATTAACGACTTGGATAATGGCATAAAAAGTCAAATACCCAATTTTGCTGGTGATGCAAAATTGGGCAGCATTGTAACCAGTGTTGAAGACAGCATAAAATTACAACAGGCTATTGATAGATTAGATAAATGGGCAAAGCTATAGCAGATGGATTTTGGTATAAGATTATAAATTTTGGAATGAGAATGGATGGATCAGGGTTTTTTTTAGAAAGCACAAAGTTAAATAGAGTGGATGTCCAACAAGATTTGGGGATTCAGGTGCATAGGTCTTTAAAATGCCACAAACAGATGCAGAAAATAGTCAAAAAGGCTAATGGAATGCTGGTCTTCATATCTAAAGGACTGGAGAGTAAGGCTGCAGACAATGTGCTGCAGTGATACAAATCCAATCAAGGCACCTCACCTGAGGAAGGATGCTTTGGACCTGGGGAAAGTTCAACATAGTTTACAAGGATGATACCTGGAGCTCAGAAGTTAATTTTTTATGGGAAGAAATTAGACATATTAGGCCTTTATTGCCTAGAATTTAGAGGTTAAAGGGTAATCTAATCCAGTGTTTAGGATGTTAACAGGGAAATACAGGCTAGATAAAGATAAACTATTTCCACTGGTTGAAGATTCTAGAACTAGGGAGCATAGATTTCAGAATTAGAGCTGAGCCATTCAGAAGAGATGTTAGAAAGCATTCCATATGCAAAGAATAGTGGAGGTTTGGAACCCTCTTAGACAGTGGTTGATATTAATTCAATTGTTAAATTTAAATCTGAGATGTACAAACTTTTATTAAACAAGGGTATGAAGGGATAAGGGCCCATGACAGGCACGTGGATTTAGGCCACAGATCAACCATAATCTTATTGAACGGCGGAGTAGGCACGAGGGACTCTAACGTAAGGGAGAAAAAAACAATGCTATTTTCATGCAAAAACAAAATATTGTATATGCAAGGAATCCAAAATAAAAACAGACACTGCTGGAAATACTCAGCAGGCTAGGTAGCATCCATAGTTCTAATGAAGTGTGATCGATGTGAAACATTAATTCTATTTCTATCCACAGAAATGCCTGATCTGCTGATGTTTTCAAGATTTTCTGTTTTTAATTTGTTTTTCTGAAGTGTGTTATAGAATATACAAATTTAAAATTGCTTTGGGGCAGTGTAATGAAGGTGCTTCTGATACCTTTTTGTACATTGCTCCTTCTTCTCTCTGAGCAAAGGAGAAAAATGTGAGACTGAATGGACAGTGACAATATAATACATTACAATATGGGAACGTTTTATTTACTAAGTTTTCTGTAAACAATTGAATAAGTACACACCAAGAATAGTTTAGCAGAAGTTTACACACCAAATTCTGATTAGTATTTGGAACGGTGACTTTTTTTATAAAGAGGTGCCTTCTCTGAAGGGATGGTAGCTTCATGGAAATTGACTATCCCATTGCTTGTTGGGAAAATAATGTTGTGATATAAATTGTATTGAAACCCATCATCACTTCACTTAAATGTGATGTTATTGCATTTAAAATGCATCTAGCTGTTGTCCATTTTAAGGTGAAAAAGTCTGGAAAAATAAATCAAAAAGTGAATATCCCTTTAAGTTGAAGGCATTTTGCAGAAACCAAAGCAACTTTCTGAAAGTATTCTGTTTTCTTTGCTTCTCCAGGTGGTTCTTCCCGATGGCCTTCACCACAGTGTGAATGTGGCTGCAGAAATGATAAAAGCGAAAAGGATGGAGAGAGCATAACGTCCTGCAATGAACTATCCACTTCAAGCTGTGATAGCCAGTCTGAGGCCAGCTCTCCACAGGAGACAGTGATCTGTGGTCCAGTAACCCGGCAACCCAATATCCAGACCCTGGACCGACCAGCCAAAAAAGGGCCAGTGCAGCAAGTGCAGCAAAGTGAATTCCGAAGGAAAAGTGATCTGCTAAGGACACTCACCAGTGGATCCCGTGAATCCAATGCATGCAAAAAGAAAATCAAAGAGAAACTGACAATTGAGGAAGAGTTAGAGAAATGCATCCAAGATTTTCTAAAAATTAAGATACCTGACAGGTTCCCAGAGCAAAAATACCCATGGCAACTAGAACTGTTGCGGAAATATCATCTATAGAATAAGTTAGGTCCTTGCAAGGACTTTTCCCTAGCTCAGGCTACCCTCCCATCTATGCTTCTGGGCTCTCCTGGCCTCAGACTCTTACCTGTTCCCAGGTTATGACTACTCCATGCTCTGCAGTGCTCCTGAGCTCACACTGCTCTCTGTTCCTGCTTTGGGCTCTGACAGTTCTTGAATTCAGTTCCTGGATACTTTTGAATTTTGACTGCTTCCTGCTCTCATCTTCGACTGTGTCTGGGTGGTTTTTATCCCATTTACTGAAACCTAAACCAAACAAGGGCAAATAGTGGATGGGAAAATGGTTTGAGCTCTAATTAGTTATTTGCTGCTGATCAAAAGTAAATGGGAACTATTAATGTCTCCAGATCAAATGACATACGGAGAAAGTGAGAAAATAGGACTCGTGGTGTCAGTGTCACATTTTACAAACTCTCAGACACCCTTCTCATAAAGAAAAGCAGATTGTCTGCCCAATAAAATGGACAGACATGTAGCAATCCTGCTTCTGGTTATACAGGGCTTTGACTGCTCCTAGGTCTGATAACCTATTACTCCCTTCTCTGGTTCCTGCATGTATTATGTGTGCAGATTGTCAATCAGACTTCAGTTTCTGTGCTGCTGTGTGTAAAGACTTTGGTGTTTGTGATGAAAAGACATCTATATTCTCACACATGGAAGTTCTCTCAAAAAGCTTCCATTAACTAAACATTTCCGGACTCAAATGTCTTGAAGCTGCACCACAATCAGACACCTTTAGCTTGCTTGATTTAACAAAAAAAAAGGCACTTACTGTTTTTTTCCCATTTTAAAAGAAAAAGCACATTGAAGTTTGCATATGTTGTGTTGTCAGTAATGCGGGTTGAAGCAGAGATTTCTTGCACTGACTCTAAAGTGATGGATACATTATTCTTGAATCCAGTTAAAGTTGACAACGACCTTTTCTTTTAGAATTATACAGTATAGGTTTGATGTAAAGTGGACTTGCACTGATTTACCTAACAAAGTGTGACTCTGAAATTCAGTATTCACTGTGTGATGTTTTAATTGGATCATTATTAACGGTCTATTGATGACTTGTATTCCTTCCTTCGAGATTTGTGTAACTCTCTTGCAGTGTGTGACTTTTTTCCCAGTAAGATTGTGATACATGTTTCCCTCTCGGGATGTTGAAGCACAAGTTTGTCTCTTCCATTAAATAATGCCACAATGGTGGTCTGTACTTTGATGATCAGTTGTTAGTTTCAGGTTAAGTTAATCAATTAAACCCTTTGAGGGCTACAGTAGTATCTCTGCACTGTGCCTGAGCCTGATAGGATATTTATATTTTGACTGACTGACATGGAAAGCTGTTTTTGTGTGTTATACATGGTCTCTTTGTGGTCTGTGCCCCTTGCAAAAGTTTAGTGCAAAATTTAGAAATTAATTTATCAGTCCTCAGAGGGTTAATTCACTAAGAAACAGAGTACCTTCCTTATTCGAGACAACAAGGTGCAGAGCTGGATGAACACAGCAGGCCAAGCA